TAGAATGTCACTTATTTTGTGCCAATGGCAGTCATGGCTGCTTTATTTATGTTAATTAAAGACACTATGATTTTATGAAATACATTTTTTTTTTAAAAATGTGAATTGATGGCAAATTAGGACAAACTGTTTGGTGTTGATCAAGCACAAAGAAAATATCAAGGAATATTTGCYAATATAAACTTAAATATTTTCTGTTATTATTGTTTGAAAATTAAACATTGATTGTTTTCTTTCAGTTTTGTAGATGAATATGATCCAACCATTGGTAAGTAAAAAAAAAAAAACAATTAAGTAATGTATATATGCTCCTTGTTATTTATAGTGCTTTGAAAATAAGTTCAATGCATGTTTATACCTAAAGTAATATTTTATCTATTGGATATTACTAACTAAACAGTGTTTTACTGTGAAAYACGGTAATAATACATTATATATCTGGTCAGAATTCTCAGTAAAAGCAGGCAGCCATCAAAAATCACCAGTTAAAGCTTAGTTAATCGCTGACTACTTACACATTTATTTGCAAATTATTTGGGTGTACTTTTCCTATTTTGATGGGTACTTTTCCTATTTTGACATCTACTTTTATATTTCTACTGAGAACCCTGGAATATGTAACAGTTTCATGCATATTTTATTGGCACTTTATCAAAACCTCAGGCTGACCAACACATGTTATGTAATAAACACATGTTACGTAATAAAATTTTTTGGCTGGTGCAGTATTGACTATTCTTAAAATTCCACTGCAAGTAAGCTAAGCCTTGAATCTATGTTTGAATTTATTGGTTATTCTAATGTTTTCTGTCTAACGAACAAGGCTATTTCTACATGTACTGGAATGATAGCAATCAATAGACAAGTTACTGTGGTATTTTATACACTTAAGATGTAAAAATGACACAAAAAGCACTAATATAAGTTCCATTTTTCTCACTTGCAGAAGATTCATATAGGAAACAAGTAGTAATAGATGGTGAAACATGCTTGCTGGTGAGCTATATATKATATTTCTATTGGCATTTGTACAAAAAGTAAAAAGGAAAAGCAGATTTATTCAGGAAAGCACAATCTCTGTTGAAGCAAATCAAAACATCTTTCAGTTCAAAAAATTGCCTGTTATAAATGCAAAAAAAGTGCTGAATTTTTTTATGCATTGACTGAATCTTATGTACATAATTGTCACTTAAATTTGCGCTGCAGTTTGCACTTCTTCAAAGACAACCAAGACGTAGATTATTTATAAGTTTTTCGACCAATAAGAATTGTCTGAATTGTCATCAATAATAATAATTATTGTCATTGATAAATACCTACATGTAGTGCTTAAATTAATATTTATCTTATATATTATTAGGATATTTTGGACACAGCAGGTCAAGAAGAATACAGGTACATGATTGTGATGTATGTGATATATAAAATACAAGTGGGAGGCCTTTATRKGCATYRAAAACTGCAAGCTGCAAGCAGGCAATGTTAGAGCCCATAAAGGTCAGACGCGAATATTTTCCAACATAAGGTAAAGCATATTTTGAAAAAAACTTCAGGATAAAATATCATTTGTAAG